TTTGTTTTGATTGATCCAAATCGACTCGATGGCAGTGAGTTTGGAATTTTTTTTTTTTTTTTTCAAGCAAATGAAGCTGGTGTCCTACTCTATTCTCTAGTTTGACAGCACTTAAGCACTTACTCACTACCTGTGTCCTGGTGGGTGTGATAGAGGATGAGAATGTGTGCATAGATCTGTTTGCTGTTCATGTAGAGCAGTTGAAGGTAGGTTGGGCTGGTATTGGCCATCATTGGTTGATCAGTTGGTACAGAAGCAGGTGGTGGCCCTTGCCCAGTGGGTGGGACTGTAGGAGGTGTGGATTTGGTTGGGTTGTGTGAACACATTTTCCATCTCCCATAAGGTGGCACAAAACAACAAAATAAAAACAAACAAACAAAAAAAAAACCACTAAAATCACAAACAGGATAAACAAACAGTAATACCACAAAAAGAAAAAAATGAAAAGGAAAAAAGTAAAAAAGAGAAGGACAAAGAGAAAAAGGGGAAAAAATCTGGGGAGGGAGAACAAAGGAAAGAAAGCAAAAGAATAGTAAAGAAAAATGTAAAAACAAAAACAAAGAATGGGAAAAATGAACAGAAAAGAAAGAAAGAAGAAAGGGAACAAGAAAAAGGAAAAACAAACAAGAACCAGGAAAGATAAAGAAAATGCAAAATAGAAAGAAAGAATGGAGGGGGAAAATAATTTTAAAAGAGAGAGAGACTGGGGGCAGAAGGACCCTGGGCAGTGTTCCTGCTGGCCATGCAGGTGGTAAGGAGCATAGCACCTGATCCAAAAAGAGTTCCTTCCAACCCAAAGGCATCTGAAGGCAGGGCTTCTAGTCCCAAAATGTGGCTTGGTATAGGGTGCCTAGTCCCACAAAAAGTTCCTGTAGTCCCAAAAGGCAGCTGTGGCTAGGTCATATGGTCCCCAAAAAAGTTCCTACCTTCCCAAAAAATGATGAATATAGGATGGCTAACCCCAGAAGAAGTTCCTGCCAGCCCAAAAGGTGGCTAGAGCAAGGTGCTTGGTCCCAGAGGATGTGGGTAGCTTGTTTACCTACTCTGCCATTTTTCTGGAAGTCCTTTAATCTTTTCATTTATTATCGACTTTTTAAAGTTCCTCCATTTCATCCATTATTAATCTTTGTTGTTGTTGTTGTTAGATATTCCTTTATTTGAATAATAAAATAACAGACTGGCGACATTTGCATAATTCTCTTTGGAAATGAAAGCTGTTCTATTACTCAAAACATTCTGAGACACTGGTTATTTGATATACAAAACCAGATCATTTAGTAGTACTTAAAAATAGTTTTAATTTATAATAAATAAATTGAAATAGACTTTCTTTAAATGGTGTATACCTATTATGACAAAATGTTTACTCCAAGATTACTAATGGGGAAGAAACAGAAGAATAAATAGTGTAAGATGTAAGAAGCCCCTGCCAACTCCTGATCAGATAGAAGTAAAGATAAGCCCTCTAGGAAATGTGTAATGTTAGGAACATATGTAGTGAGAAAACACAGTTTAATTTATCCATAATTTTCAAATACATCTACTTCATAATGTAAGGCATATTTGTATTGTTTTCTGGAAAAGAAAATAAAATACATTTATGTTAAGATAAATTTTTGCCACAGCTTATAAATTGTCTCCTGAACAAGTTTTAAGGGTTGGAGATATGTTTCTAAAAATAATTTAGATTTAAATCTTTATTCTCACTCTTTTGTGTATGCCCATAGTTAGCAATGGGAGCTCTGGTAGCATAGTGGCTAAGACACTTGCCTGCTAACCAGACGGCTGGCGGTTCAAACCCACCAGCCACTCCTCAGAAGGAAGGTTGGGCAATCCTACTTCCGTAGTGATACTGCCTCTAGTGATACTGCCTCGGAAACCCAAGGAGGGGTCGCTATGAGTCGGGTTTGACTCGACGGCATGTAACAACAACAACAACAACATAGTTAGCAATATTTATAAATAAATTGTGTCCTGAAAATACGCTTGAATGTGAAATGTGAGAAATCAAATAATAACTTATATTTTATGATCGTGATTTTACTCCCCAGGGAAAGAGGGTTAAAAGATATTATAAAACTTCTAATTAATTTCCTTTAGGCATCCCACCCATTATTAGTCTAATTATCTGTTCTGTTAGTTGCTCAAGTCAGTTTCGTCTTTATTCTTTCAATGATTTTTCTTTTATTTCTAATTCTTTCCTGAGTTTTGTCACCTCATCTATGTTCTTTCATATCTTGTGTTTTAGTTTTTCTTTTTTAATGATTTATTTTTATAAATTGCTGTTGAGAATATGCGCAGAAGAACACAGGCCCACACAACAATTTCCACACGCACAATTCAGTGACACAGATTACATTCTTCAAGTAGTAGAACCACTCTCACCCTCCTTTTCTGAGTTGTTTTGTATTATTAAATATATATGTTGTGTTTGAAATAGTACACTATAGTTATGATCTGTTTGTGAGCCTATCTTTTGGTGGGCTTTCATTATCTATAGGGACATTATCTATTTTATTCTCTTTTTTCTTATAGTAATTTTTATTGCACTTCACCTCAATCCTTTTCTGTTGTCCTTTTTGCGTGATTTAGTCATTCTGAGCTTTTAGAAGATGTGGCTCTACCTTCACAGAGCTGTCACTTCTGTTTTGTGCCTAAAAATGTGGACCCATGCTTTCAGAGATTTCCTGGCTCTGTTCCCTTCTTCCAATTTTATCTGGAGCTACTCTTGTTTTCTCTCTATGTCTCTAAGCTGTTCAATTTTTATTCCACTTCTAGTATTTTTCCTAAGTATGGGGCCCTGTCCTTGAAGGGAGATCTGGCTGATCATTTTTGCAAGTTCACATGGTCTAGACTGCTTGCAGTGTAGTAAATTACTTTGTATGGTTTTTCTACTCATAAGTCATTGTAAACTCAGTGGTGGAATGAGCAACTGAGGAGCTCCTGATTGTAAATGTTATCCACGTGGAGTATTTCTGTTGGGCGTGACACAATACAATGTTCTGGGAGGGTCCCACTCTCTCTCAGGTGCTTAGAGTTCTGATGCTGTGATTGGCTAGTTTGACCACCCTGCCGGACCCAAAAGGAGGACTCCTAGAGGCAGAACTCTCTCTGACTGCTGGTTGAGGAAGATGTGCTGCTGAAAGAGACATGCATCCTGGAAAGAGACGCAAGAGACACGCATTGCTGAGTGAGACACCAAGGGACCAGCACTGCTGAGAAAGAGGCTGTGAGAGACTGCTGGCTGAGGGAC